ACTCTCTAATGAACTGCAATCCTCACCCCCTGTCAAAATAAAAAAAATTATATGTTTTAATTAATATTTCAATATTTCTATGTGAATACAGTTTTTAAGAACTAAAAGTGACAGTACTATTAAGTATATATGTACAAATTGGGGAAGGAAAGTAAATACTAGAAAGAGATTATCGAGTTATTGACACAAGAAAACTTTCAAGTTTACACGGTCGCAGTTAAATTTAACATAAACGACAATCAGTGGCAGGGAATTGAAAGGATGATTATTGACAAGTCTATTTGTCCTGTTCCCCTTTTAACAAATTACTAAAATTGGAGAAAACTATAGTCAACAGGTGAGACTTCGATTTTGCTTGCATTGGTTCCGCCTGGTTTTTGTATTCAGGTGTTAACAATCACTGGGGTACGCTACCTCAAACCGTCCCCCAAACTTTATTCTCTCCACACCTGCCAGCTCCAAAAATCTCTACATCTATATCTAAATTCTCTGCACACACAAAGATCCTTTTAGAATCAATTTCGAACTTTCCAAATCTCTGCTCGGCGCTACTAGAAAAAAAGGCGCCGAGAAAAATAAATATTGGACTAAAGAAATAAACAAATAAATAAAATCAGAGTTGACACAAAAACTTAACTTTTCCCTGATTTCCAAACAGAATTTTGACTTTTTTTCCTGACTCTAAAGAATATTCTGATTCACTCTAAACATGATTAGATACTAAAAGAAATGTTCTATTTAATTTATTTACGAATTTCTTTAATTGTAAAATTATTCGTAAACATCAATAACTTCATTATTAAGTAAATATTTAATAATTATTATTTTTCCATAGGAATTAAAATTTTCAATAATTTCAAATTCAAACCTTTTGAAATTCGACAATTTATAAGAATATTCTTATAAAAACATGAAGAAATCATAATTTAAATTCAAAAATTATTTTCTAGAATTTTCAACAAAAATTCTTCTTTAAATCAATTATTTTTAATTTCGATTATTCGGAAATTATTTATTTAAATAGATATTAGAAAATAAAACTTCAAATAATTTTGAAAATAATTCAATTAAACTTTTTAAAAAAATTTATTTCTACAGAATTATTAGTTAATTAAAAGTATGAAAAAGTTAAATTTTCAAAGATTTTAATTTGAAACCTTCTCAAAATTCAATTATTCAATTCAATTATTTCTAAAAAATTTTTGACATAAATTTGTAATAGAAAAATCGACGAGAATTCATTTATTTAAATCCAATGTAAATAATTTAGTGAACAATTGAATGATTTTTTAAAATTGAATTCTCATAGAGAATTTTATGAATTAATTTTTAAATAATTAGTTTCTTTTAAGGAATTTAATTAAAATTTTACTGAAATTTATTGAATTAAAGAATTTTATCCCAATTTTTGAAAATAATGTAAAACTTTTGTAGAATTTTATTAAAATTTTTAAAAATAATAATTCAATTCATGAGAAGACTTTAAATAATAATTTATGAAAATAATTGCATTTATGCGAAGAATTTTATTAAGTTTCGTTTAAATAATTGAAATTTTGCCAAGAATTTTATTGAACTTTTTGAAAATAATTGACTTCTTGAGAAGAATTTCGCTATATTAGCTATTTACAAAAATACTTTTCAAAAGAATTGAATTCTTGTGATAAGTTTTGATATTTATCAAAATAATTGAATTTTGGAAAAAAATTTTATTAAAATTCCTGAAAATAATTAATTTTATGGGATTATTATTTCTTGTTTACCAAGATAATTGAATTCTTTTGCAGAATGACTAGAAATTTTTTGAAAATAATTGATTTTCTGCGAAGAATTGAAAGTTGTTTATGAAAATAATTGAATTATGGCAACAAATTTTATTATTTTATTGGATAATTTAATATTTCTTAAAATTCAATTCTTTCGTCAAGTTTTAATAAAATTTTTAAGAATAATTGCATTTTGCAATTAAAATATTAATTGAATTCCTATAAAAGAAATTTTATTCTTTATGAAAATAATTGAATGTTTTTGTAGAATTGTAACAAAAAATTTTTTTCAATAAATTAAATTTTGTGATGAATTTTATGAAAATATTAAATGTTGAAAATCATTGAATTGCTAGAAACTTTTAAAAATAATTGAAATTTTGCAAAGAATTTTATTTAAATAATTTTTGAAAATAATTGAATTTTGGAGAATAATTTTATTATTTTTAAAAATAATTGAAATTTTGCCAAGAATTTTATTCAAATTTTTGAAAATAATTGAATTTCTATGAAGAATTTCATTATTTTTTGAAAATAATTGAATTCCTACTGTGATGAATATTCTATTGTTATTTACGGAAATAATTGGATTTTGCAAAGAATTTTACAAAAATTTCTAAAGATAATTGAATTTCAGTGGAGAATTTAGTTATTTATGAAGAATTGAAATCTGAACGAGATATTCGTTAAAAAATCTTTGAAAATAATTGAATTTCTACGAAAATTTTTATTATTTTTGAAAATAGTTGAATTCTGCAAAGAATTTTATCAAAATTTCTGAAGATACTTAATTGAATTTCAGTGAAGAATTTTGTTATTTATATAAAAATAAAAAAATAGAAAAAAATTTCAGGTTTTGTATTAGATAATTTTGTATTTTTTCGTGATAACTTCATAGTTTAGGAGGTAAACAAAAAATACACAAAAATTCCGAATTTTCTGATTAATTCTAGAAATCTAATATTTTTTCCAGTATACTTTTAATAAAAATTCCTGATTTCCCTGACCTGTGGCAACCCTGAAAATAAACAAATACTAACTAAGCAAATATTAAAATACAAATATAATGTAAATACAATAAAATGTAACAAATAGTAAAATTAAAATCGTAAATTAAATTTTAACCGATTTTACATTTTTACCGTCAAATTTTTATAAAAGTTGACGATTAGCAGAGAAGAAGAGAGTTTATGTGCGGAAAACAATGGCGATTATTGACAATCAACTCCTTTTATGTAGAATCTAAACAAATAGTAGGAAGCGTGCCTATATGTGACGTGTGTGTGTGTGTGATGCTGAAGTAAAATCTATTCATGTACCGAAGCTAGGAGACGTGTCGTATCTTCATCTCGACGCCTCTGCATCCGTAAACCCTTTTATTTTCTCGAGTTACCTATCACTCGCTCTCTTATTCCCCTCGCGACCCTCAATGATGACCACTTTCATCTCCACTGTTAATCTCTTTGTTCATGTCTCATTTGGAACTTATTCAACCATTTGCTCATAATGAATGCAATTTGCTCAGCCAGATTTCTCTCAAATGTATTGCTTCCACATATGATTATCAGAGCATTTAGTATTCGTACAAACTAAAAAAAAACAAAGAGGGAGAGAAATGAATTAATTAAACAATTCTACACGCGAGAAAGTTAAAAAAAATTCCATTTTCTTAGTTGTATGCAATATTCTCTTTTTATTATAAATATCAAATGTTTTCAAATATAAAAAGATAAGATAAGCGATTATTGCAGATAGAATAAAAAATGCGTGAGGTAAAAATTTATCGCAATCACAAGACTTAGAAATTAATTTCAAATACTGAAAATACTTTGCAAATCTGCGTGATATTTACTAAGCTGAAAAATATTCATTTACAATACGAAAAATTTTAATATTTAAAAAATATTAAATTTACAATCCAAAAAATAATAGTTAAAAAATATTAAAATATGATAAATATTTCTAAGACTATTTTTTTTCGAGAAAATAGAATAACTATTTTCAGAAGCGGAGATTTCAATGACTTCCGTATTCATTTTCTCTGAAAACAAAAATTTCTTTTTATATTCGCCTTCTAAATGAAGTTTGCCAAAGATAATACAATAAGTGTTTAGTTTGTCTTAGATTTATATATTCGAAAACAAAAGCTAAATCACGATTAAAAAAAAAATTCTCTTCGTCTCTTGTGATTTTATAATCTTATCTTGAATTTTTATTTTCTTTTACTCCCTCATACCGGGCACGTTTAAAATATATTCTATTAAAAAGAATAAAGAATGCTTCGTTTTTTACTCTCAAATGCACACTGATAAAAGTTTCAGAATAGAAAGCATTGCCTTTGATATAGAAATCGTCACCCACGTGTGTTACCTGGCCTGAAAGTATATAAAAACATACGCCCACAATAGTCGCATCATTGTTCGAAATGAAACTCCCAAAAACAACAGAAAATTTAAAATTCAATTTCAATAAATAAACATGACTAAATGTCACTTTAAAAAAAAGATTAAAATAAAAGGAAAAAATTTACTGTAATAAATAAAAATTCGGATTAGTTTTTTTAAAAAGGGGAAAAAATAGAAAAACGAGAAAAAAGGCGTGCGTTTCCAATTAGAATGATAAAAAATTGAAAAATCAAGGTTCAAAAAATGACAGTTGAAAAATTTGCGTTTTATGTTCATCAATATCCTCAAAACAACTTTCAGGCGCCTTGTATCTTTTTTGTAGTCTAGACACCTGCCAAGACGCTGGGGACGTCTCGGCGCCGCAGTTTGTTCTTCCGCTCGAGAAAGAAAAAACACATCGATCCGGCACGCGCAAAAACTACTGATTTCTCTCCCTCTTCATCCCGTTAAAGATTGCAATTTTTTTTCCCCAAATGTATCTTTTTTAGAAAACACCATGAAGATCAGCGCTCTACATACACCATGTAATCTTTTGCAGGTGCATTAAATTTCTCTCATCCCGAAGAGAAAAAAAAATTCAAAATCTACATTGGCGTTTTGATCGCATTTTCGAATTCATTTTTTTAAAAGTCGAATCACGTAGCGATTTGTATGCCGATCGCATGCCAAATAATTGTAGCGCGGCTTGTCCCTGGAGCGAATTCAAGAACCACAGAAACAAACGTTAGTGGAGAGGACAGAACAGGACGAGAGAACCGAAGAAGAAGAAGAAAAAAAAACAACAATCTCGGTCGCGGCACACGCCAAGGGAATAGAAGAGAGCACTTACCCTTTTTCTTTTTTTCTTCCAGTGAACAGCGTCTTGCTAACAGGTCCAAAAAATTTTTCACCTCTTTGTTGTATCTGTTTATTCCGGAAAAACCGGCGAAAAACGCCTGGCGTCAGGATGCACCTTGCTCCGGTAAATTACTCCATTTTCATCCCCGTTTTGATTCACTCGCTTCATCCATAAAACTCACGCAAAACACTCTCTCAGCGTCCACTAGTACACTGGAATGCGGACCCCACGGACCTGACTGACGAGTTTTAAACCACCACAAGGATTACAGGGAAGCGATGTTTGTGGCACCGGTGCTGTTTGTTGCGCTTGCGCCAGTTCATGATGGCGTTCCTCCTGTTGGCGCAATATTTTAAAAGTAATCGTAGAAAATTAATTACGGAAATCTATTTTTTTCAGTGTTCTAATGCAAAAGACGAACTAATTTTTATTTTCTTTTTTAATATTTTTTTTAAATTAATAAATAAATATAGTTTATGAAGCAAACAAAAAAAAAAGACAAAAATTTAGAATTTTCTTATGAATTCTAAAAATTAAATTTTTTCCAGTACATTTAATAAAAATCCCTGACTTTTCCCTGACCTGTGGCAACCCTGTCAATTAATGGAAGTTATGTAGTAGTTTAATTATTTTAATTATCAAGTCCCTTTTAAACGATAATTATTTATCGCGGTAACTGTATTTATTCATGATTTAATATTGCATGCTATTTTCTCAAGGTCAAACCTGTAAAAATTCAGACAATTTTTCATTCCCTAATTTACCATAATGGAGAAACGTGTCTAGAAGAAGAGAAGAATTGTACTGTAAATCATATTTCAACAAAAAAAATTTAAGCGCAAATGTAATTAATTCTATAAAAATACTACAATGCACAAAAGTAAGGTTAGGATTGCGTTTTGTAGTAATTATAACGAAAATTAGCTTTTTTCATAAATAATCAACGATTTAAGAGATTTAGTTACGTAAAAATTCATAGTCAAAATCACGCGATGACAACAATAAGAATCTTAACCTCACTTTTCATTGGCTTTGCATGTACACGATAGATTTATGATAAACTTTTTAAGTCAAGCGAATACCTGAATAGAACTGTAAAGAAACCAAATTATTAGTATTCTTTAACAGTAGAGTGTGAATCCGTTGCTTCTAAAATGGATTAAATTGACCAAATCCTGCAGATTAAGACAAAATATAGGAAACAAAAACATTTTTTAATCAGCACACATTTCACCTTTGAAGCTTCTAAAAGCAGACTGAGCTGCCCTCTGCAAAACGGTCGGTATTTACGTAACAGGCCCCCAAGCGAGAGCATTCTGTAGGTAGAGTGGGGGGCGAAGTGTGTCGCGCGCTGATTGGTCGAGCGCCACCTCGAGTCCGCGCACCAATCAGCGCACGGCAAGCGTCTGGCGACTACGTAAATACGGGCGTTTTCGCAACCATTTCTCACTTCCTTCTGGACTTTACTTGGAGTAGGACTGCGTTACTTTGAAATTTTTTTTTCCGTGACTTTGTTTATTCATCTAATGGAGGACTATGGATATGAATGCCTTTCATTCTCTGGGCATTATTTATTGTGTATGCATTACATCGAAGACTTTAATTCATCGATTGCCATGCTTTTTCTACTATTAATACAGAATCATCGGTTCTTTAATGAAGAACATTAAAAGTGACATCTGAGCTGAATATCAAATACAAGAGAGGAGAGGAACTTCACAGCGTCCATGGAAATGATTTTTACGAAGTCTTCCGTTGCAGTAAGTTTGTTTATTATGATTTATTTCTTTTTATTAATTATTTTTTTACTTTATCAAAAGTTGATAATTTTTTGCGAATTATATACATTTATTATTTTTAATAATTGATTTAAAAATCAATTAAATTTCAATAGTAATTTCTAAAAGGGAAAGAGCATAAATTGAAGAAAATTTTCATTTTTGCTTAGTAATAGTAAATTGTGTGGAATATTTTTTTTCAAATTCTGTTGAGTTTTCTCGTGTACAGTTAGCGGTGTTGAGTTTATTTGTGTTGGATTAATACCGACCCTTGTTTTTCGTTAGAATCAAGTAGGAACAAAAGAACGTAAATAACAATAAAAATATTGTTATGCTTACTTTAATTATTAAAATTAGCAATGAATATTGTTAACAATTGATAGAATTGTTAACAAAATAATAATGCATTGCTATTGTTTGAATTCTCCCGCGTAAAGTACATAGAAGTGACTGCGTCTACCTGCACAGCCCTGATCACGTTCCGCCTCATGTGAATGCGACCTAAAAAGTGGGGACGGATTTTATTCTTGCAGGCAGACTACCATCACTACTGTAAACTTTTAGACTTATTTCGCGCTTCTTGCATCTCAGTTAAAAAAACTCATGTGAACTGTAATGGAAGGAGTGGTTGTTTTGTGTACAGCTTTAAAGTCCGTGTCGACTGAGGTTATGTCGCCTGGAGTCAACGATGCGTTCCGTGGGGTTATAAATGAACAGTGAATTTAATTAAAGAGAAACGTGCAAAACTGTGAGTATTATTACTATTAAAAGCCGGTTGCAAAGTTCGTCCAGATTCGCGATATTTTTTTTTGCCCTCCCAAATTCCACTCTCTCTCTATGCGTGTGCTACAAAAATTCCTATGTGTATTTTCTCGTGTGAGATAAATCATTTTATTTCGTCATGAAACTTATTATTTCCTTTAAATTTCAATTCTCTCACTCAATGAGGGCATTTCTTTATTATTTATTTTGATGAGAAGGAAATCGAATTGCAGCAGGAAAAGGATTCCTTTCTTGGGTGACTAATGGTTAACATTACCGGAGCGCCATGACGTAGCCCGCGGTGCAAGGCTCTTTGCGGTTTTCTCGATTTTTTCATTTTCGTTCGCCTCTCTACCTAAAGTCATAGCAGGTGTAGAGTTAAACGCATGTTAAAAAAAATGATATTATTTACAATGATTCCGTGATGTGTAACACGTGTTTAATTGTTACTCCTTCCTGGCAAGGCGCCAGGCAACGCCAATTGTTGTGCATTCAGTTATTTCCAATTATAACCTCTTGGATTGCTAATTTTGTGTAAATTTAGATGTGCGGAGTGTCTGCATTCTGGTTCTTTAATCCCCATGGTAAAATGACTTACCATCTTTGTGGTTTTTAAAGTCTCACACAAAGGAATGTATTTGTATCTTAACAAAAATGGTTAGGTTTGACAAATAATTATTGTTATTTTCTACAATTGAAAAAAATCTAAATTTATCTTTTAAAAATATCGCAATATCTTTAAGATTTTAATCTTAAAGATCATTAATATCTTAAAGATATTGCAATATTTTTAAAAGATAAATTTCAATTTGTATTTTAATTTTCAACTTTAATTTGAAATATTGAATATACGTAAATAGTATTTTTTTAAATTTAATTTTGTTATATTGCCTGGTGTAATTAATAACTGGAGTGCTTGATTTCTCAAGTGTCTATTGCAAATTAGTTATTAGAGATTTAGTTTGCATGAGGTTAAGGAGAAACTTTTGATTAACGTGTATAATTTTCTTTCTTTATTCACAACAAGAAACATTTTTGGAGTAGCTCTATATAATCAAAGTATCAAAGATAAGTTTACATTGCCAGGTTAGTTTATACAATTAGATAAGATATTTCATGACGATTACATGGGTTCATAAAACTTTGAGAAATTTACAGCATTCTTAAAAAAAACTTTCACGTATTATTTCATAATTTAGTATTTTGACTTTTTATTTTTTTTACATATTTGAATATTTTGAACTGATCGATTATTTGAGCCATTTGTCTTCATTATATACTTATAGGTAATAATTAATACAATTTGGAAAATTGAATTATGAATTTCTGATGGACAATTTTGTTAATTTGTATAAACAAGTACAAATTTTAAGTTAGTCTTTTATAAGTTAGTTAAATATAAAGTTGAAAATAAATAAATTTATAGTTCCAAAATTATTTTTTATAAATTAAATAGAAACAATTTATATTTTATCATATTTAAACAGTGAAAAACGGGGTTTTAACTGTACATCAATTAATTTACATTTTACGCTGTTGCTTTATGCATTAGGTATCAATTTCAACCTGTTTTCCTTCAATTTCTCCAGCAAGCCTGAACAGAAAATGACTTTGAAAACACAATGTGGCTAATAATGTTTACATTCAAGCACTCTTAGAAGATGGGACCTAATAATATTTATTTAAGTTGAATTTTAATTTTAATAGAAGAAAAAAATTGGTCCCAATATAACGTTTTAGGTTTTTTTTTCTGTGTTTAGTTTGTTCAGCAGTTTATTTCATTATAAGGAAGGAAAGGTGTTTTGAAATGATGACACACATAATTTATGCTCTCTTAAAAATATTACTTATGTTTATGGAATAAACTCGTGTTTAAAAAATAAAGTTAAAAAAGTGGAATATCTGACAAAAATATTTTCCAAGTAAGAAAATGTTAAATTTTTATCTGCAGCTTATAGATATTTAAATGCTAATAATTTAAAGTCAATTTGTAAATTAGCTTGTTGAGTAAATAGTAAATTAATCTAAATTTAATAGTAAACTAATTTAAAGATAAAATATAGAAAATGAATGCGAAGAATATGTAAATTTAGTTTATAATTTACCGAATTTATAAAATGAAGAAAAAAAGGAGACTTCTTAAATGAAAGTAAAAGATACAGTTGTCTTAACAATCTTTTTCGTCTTGGGTTTTTTGCCTCTTTTTGTCTGACCCGTATTTGCCATTTTCACTTAAGTACACAAAAATGGAGTTGTGTATCTCCGAGGTTAAAACTTATATAGTCTTAACATAACTTGGACAGATAATAATAATAATGCAATTTATAAAGAAATATTTTTCAATAGTTATCTTTTTGAGATGATAAGAGGTTTTATATCACGTTTCTTAGCTAAAATTTTCCTTTCACCAAAATGTCAACATATATCATGTTGTCGTTTTATTAAGTTCTTAACTTTCACCATAAAGTCCACATTGTAAAATAACAATTTTCAATAATAATAATAATAATAATAATAATAATAACAATAACAAATTCGATTTTCATTCTGCTTTCAAAATTTTGAATTTTTTTAATCTTTTCTATATTAATAATAATACTCTGATTTTATTTATAGGAAGCATAAATCATTTATTACAAATTCAAATAAAAGTTGTAATTCACATAAGATTTATTTGTATTTACCTTTTTTTTAACATAACAATTGTGCGAGGAGAATTTATATTTATGAAAGTGTGTTATTTATACGTAATATGCCGAGTAATGTGTTTCACGTAAATATTCATGTGCAAGTTGATATAATTGCAACTTGAAAGTGTTCATCAGAATTCCATTGTTCTCCAATTTAATTAATTAATTAATTAGAGTAGTATTTTTTTAATAACTTTATTAAAATCGGAAAAAGAATATAGTTGAGTGTATAAAATATTTAGTGTTTTGTTATAATAAGTGTTAAAGAATTATCATGTTTCTAAAAGGGAAAAATTATCTTGACATATAATTATATATTGTAGATAAAAAGATTATAAATTGTAGCTTTTAGATATCAACAGCTTTCTATATATTTTTAGTAACGTCGTAAAAATATAAAAATTTATTACTAGGCTATGAATTAAAATCATTTTGATTAACTGGTCAAGAAGATTTTTTTATATTGTTTTTTACGCAATTCTTCTTGGAAGCTTGTAGTTAATGTTCTTAATAAATTTTTGATCGTTCAAATCACATTTCTTTTTGAAAAGGATTTTTAGTTTTAATATTTTCTGGTATATTTTTCTCTCCAAATGAAAATTGAACATATTTAAAAAGAATTTAACTTTTTATTTAATTTTAAATTTTGAATTTGATTTTCAATTTTAATTCAACGTAATGTTTTTTAGTAATTTTACTAAAATCCATTTAATTTAAAACTGAATTGTTTTATTAAATTCCAGGCTTTTTATTTAAATTTTCCGCATTAAAATTGAAATTTAAAAAATCACTTTCTTGTAGAATTTAAAAAAATGCAGAAATTGTGCTCAAAAAGGAAAATATGCTGTTTATATATAAACGTTCAGAAGTTGAAAAATATAAATTTAGTTATAATTTTGAGTGAAGCGTTTTGAAAAAATGATCACGTTGCAAAGTGCATTCTTATTATATTAATTTGAATTTCCGCGTATAGAAAACTTCCGTGTATTGAATATTATTACGTGCCATTGAGTGTGATATCATCTTCCCTTGCATCTAAGCAAAGTTATTAAATATTTTCTTGAAAAAATATGATTTTTGTATTTTCTTTTTCAATAAAAATCAGAATTGACAATTTTTTTTGGCTTTTTTCTAATTTGTTTTTCATTTGTTTTCAGGCTACGACAATGAAGATGAGCTTCTCATTGTCCTCACTGCACCCCTCTAGCAAAAGTCTAGAGGGTTCAGAGCATGTGAGAATGCAAGTTGAAAGGCCATATAACAGTCTCACCAAAAAAAGGTAAAAATTTAATTTTATTATTTAAAAAAAAAGAAAAATTTTTAAACTTAAAATCTCAAAAATGATAAGAACAGAAAGTTCTTTCCTGCGTCGATAATTGATCATTGTTTATAAATTTAATTTACACGTAGAAAAAATTTAAATTACACTGAAAAAAATTTTATTTGATTCAAATAACCGATTAATTGACTATTATCAATTAAATATTTAATTGAATCAAATAATATTTATTAGAGTCAATTAAATGGTTTAATTTCTTTCAAATACTGAAATTATTCGTATAAACACCATTTAAATGACTCCAGTTAATATTTGATACAAGTAAATATTTAATTGATAATAGTCAATTATTGGGTTATTTGAATCAAATAAATTTTTTTTTCAGTGTAAAAGAACTTTTGGAATATTGTCGCAAAAAACATTTTCTAATTGCAAATTCAAGTCACACATTTTGCATTTACATTTTTCAAATAAAAAAGATAAACGAGCTAATAATAATTGAATTTGTTATACATATAAGGCACTGATGTTAAACTAGAAATTTCTCCTATATATGAACCTTACGCATCTTCTGCGTTTGTATTAATATCGAAGACCTTTCAAATTGAAAATATACCAATTAAGAAGAGTTTTTCTCTCAAGTTCTTTGAGATTATTTCAATTTAGAGATTTTACAGGACGCTCAAATTAGAAAGCAGTTTTTTGCTTGATTTATTATATCAAAGTGTTTTTCATTATTTCTTCCTATGGAACTTGAATTTGGTTTGTATTTATAAACAAAAAAAGAAATTTAAAACGTTTTTTTTTAAAGTTCTAATAAAGTGAAAAAAATTCGTTTTTTAAGATATTCCAAAAAATAAATACTTTTTTATTAATTTTTTTTCTAAATTAATTATTTATCAAGTGGAATTTTTTGATTTAAATTTGTAACTGTTTAATTTAAACAATGAATGAATATTTTGAGTTTTTTGATTTAAATTTATAACTGTTTAATTTAAATAATGAATGAATATTTTGAGGACTAATTTTGATATTGTTCCTAATTTCTCCTTTTTTTATTAAATTTCAGGAAAGAACCGAAACAAGAACATTGCCAATGCATTTCAGAAAATCGAGAAGATACAGTTGATGATTTTTGGGCATCGATACGCACCAATTATGACTATATCATGGACACGAATTTAATTGACAGTTGCAAAGTAAGTGCATAATTTAATTTTTAAACGATTTACTTCCTTTTGTCTTTAATGAAAACTAAGTTGATTGTTACTTTTTTGTTCATAACTTTTTGAAAATGAAATTAATTAAAAGTATTTTCTTTTAGGAAGCAAATGGAGAACTTGCTTGGGATGAAGGTGACGTTTCCACACTCTCTTGGGGCTTAAATGAAGTTAGTTGCCAATTTTCAGAACTCTACTCGTGGCTTAGAGTTCTTCAGGAGTTGGTTTATTCTAAAGAGGAAAATCTTCTAGACAAAGGCCTGCGTGCAGTAAGTGACTCAATAATTTACCATTACACGGAAATTTTTAAATATTTTTCATGTTTACAAAAGTATATTTTTTTGTAAAAAGCTAAAATTTTTCGTAGAAAAAATTAATTCACCAAAAAAGAAGAAAAGATTCATAAATATTTCAAATCATTCAACTCCGATATAGAAAATGATCGAAATTTTTAAAGTTCGGAACAAATTATGCTCAAAATGTTTTTAAACGTTCAAATGAACGAAATATTTTTTCGCTATATTTCCAAAAATTACCGATTATATTAAAAATAAAAAACAAAATCAGGGTGTTTACTAAACAAGAAATAGCCGGAAATTGTATGCCAAACCGGGAATTTTTTCACCAAATTAAAAAAATTTTTATTATTTTAATTTGTTTTTAAAAAGTCGATTTTTATTTCAATTTTTATAGATATTTATACTGATTCAAATATAGAATTTAAATAAATTTTAAAAAAATTATCGAATAAATAATTGTTTCTTTGTACGAAGATTAATAATAAAAATTTTTATTAGTTAATTTAAAAAAAGATACACACTTAAAATTTTTTAATAAAATTGAATTTTCGCAAAGTTTTTATGAAAATTCTGAAAAATAAGATTTTTGGAATTTTTCAATTCTATAGTTTCAAGATAATTGAATTTTTATAAACTAATAATTGAATTTTTACAATGTATTAAAAATAGTTAAATTCTTTTAAAGAATTTTATTTAAATTTTTCGAACATAATCAAGGAAAGTTAATCATCGTAATTATAATTTTATTTTTAAAAACTTCTTTGCAATATATTCAATTAATTTTTTAAATAATAAAACTCATTGCAGAATTTCAATTATTTTTAATACAATTTTAATCGAATTTCTCGAAAAATGTCATTATCCTTAAAAATTTTATTAAAATTTGTCGAAAGAATTCAATATTATTTCTGGAAACTGTAAAAGAATTCTTCTTAAGAATCCAATTATTTCTATAAATAGCAAAATTCTTGGCAAACTTTCAATTATTTTCAAAAGATTAAAATGAAATTATCGTCAATCTTTCAATTATTTTTATAAATAATAAAATTCTGCTTCAAAATTCAATTATTTTCAGAAACTTTAATGAAATTCTTCGTAGAAATTTAATTATGTTTAAACTTTCTTTTAAATTGTTCTCCACAATTCAATTATTTTCAAAAATTTTAATAAAATTCTACGCAAACATTTAATTATTTTCATAAATAGTGACATTCTTTGGAAGGATTCAATTACTTTTATAAATAGTAAAATTCTTTTCTGAAATTCAATTAGTATCAATACATTTTAATAAAATTGAATTAATCAAATTTTCAATTATAATTATGAAGAGATAAGATTATTTTAAAAAAATGTTAATTAAAATTATTAAAAAAACAATATTTTCAAAAAATTTAAAGAAACTCGTCAAAAGAATTTAATTATTCATCAAAAGTCTAATAAAAATGTTGGAAGTCATTTGTAGATTTATTTATGTTCGAAATCAAATAAATTTAAATTTTATGAGAAAAAAAACCGGGAAAAATTAGGATAAAGCAGGGAAAAACCGGGAATTTGGTTGAACGAAAATAGTATTCACCTTGGTAATTAAAAATTAAACGTAATTAAAACATTTTGAAACTATACATTAATTTTTAATGCATTTCGAAATATTATTGTTTTATAATTTAAATTTGAGGAGTAAATAAATAAATTTCGTTCATTTGAACATTCGGAACTTTAGGAACATAAATTCAGATCATAAAATAATCTATAACAATAAAATACTATTTCCTAAATTTATTTATACTTTTTTTATATCAAATTTTCAATTTTCATGTATGGAAAATAATATTAAAGGAAATGTATTTTATTTACTTGCATTGTTATTATGTTAATTAATTGGCGAGCTTTCTATAATTTAGGCTCACATGGAGGAGTTACGACGCAAGGCATACAGAAGAAGACTGTTTAATGAACAAGCGGGAAAATTAATAGCCCGTGCACCAGCTTTAAGAGATGAAGTTACTTGGCGTGTTGATCATCTAAACGCTAAATGGGAACTTGTTGAACAAATCATGGCCCCAACAGTTAGACCAGTTACAGATCATCAAGACGTTTCTGCAGGTAATGAATAATTTTCTTTTAAATCTTGGTCAAGCATTTTTTCTTTCTTTTATTTATTGAGATTTAAATTTATGTGCCGTAATAATTTTTGATTAACGCGCGCACTTATTATTTGAAATAAATGTATATTAACTGTTATAATTATGACTATAAGTTTTAAAATTTTATAAAAAATTCTAAGTGTGTCGTTGCAAAACCTTAATGAATAGAGTTATGAATATTTATTGGTTGTAAAATTCATTATGGATCATTAACATCATTTAACAATCGTTAAATATTTGTAAAAGAAGTTTATTTGTGTTTTGTAATTAAAAATTTGTATTGTTTGAGGATAATTATGAATAATAATGCTTGTTTTTGTATTAGATTATCTAATTTTCAATTTATAGAAGTTATAATATAGAAAAATATTTCTCTAATGTTAGTTAGTTGATTGTGGCCTCTTGTTCTCGTAGGTCGAATAGCCAGAAATTATATTTTTGTAATTTATTCCTTAATTATTGTTATATAGTTATATAAATTGTAGAATTTGAAATTTTCTTTTCTTTTTCTTATAGATTTTGATCATGAAGTCAAATGCCTGAGGAAATGGTTACGCGAAATGGAAACTCGTATGCAGCCTCTAAGTTTTCACATCGACTGGAGTAGAGCGGAGTTGGAGGAGAAGGCAATGGAGCACATGGTGAGTCTTTTAATTAACATTTAAAAGAAAATGGTAATTTGCAAATTCTTCATTCAAAAAAAAAAAAAAAAAAAAAGACGTATTTACGTTTTTACGTAGTCGATATTGGTAACAAGTTTACCCTGAGAACTGAAAGTAACTTTAGACTCTTACGCCTCTATGAGAGCAAGTTGCAAGTGTGGAATGAAAACGATTGTCGATATAGTAGAACTCGTAATTGAAAAATGTAGGTAAAAGCCCAGTTCGATTCTTGCCGCGTAGTTCCTTCGAAATAAAACAGATGGCGACTCTCCATCCTTTCCGTGTTTTGTTCATAATTAGTTATATTTAATTTTTTAATAAATAATTAATTTTATTAAAAATAATGGATTTATTGAAGAATTTTAGTTAAAAACACGAAAAAAATTGAATTTTATAGATGTTACAAATATTTGCAGAAATTCAATTATGTTTCAAAATTAAAAATAATTCTCGTCAAGATTTCAATTATCTTTAAAAATAATAAAATTCTTCTCGAAAATTCAATTATTTTCATAAATAATAAAAATTTCACAGGAATTCAATTATTTACAAATTTTTTTTATAAATTTATACGCAATAATTCAATTATTTTCATAAATAATAAAATTTCTTACAGAGATTCAATTATTTTCATGAATCATAAAACTCATAATAGAATTTCAATTATTTTCAATACAATTTTAACCGAATTTCTCGAAAATGTCATTATTCTTGAAAATTTTATTAAAATTCGTCGAAAGAATTCAATTATTTTAAAATCTATTGAAAGAATTCTTTATGAAAATTGAATTTTCAGAAACATTCAATTATTCAATAATTTTTTCATATTTGTAATTTAAATAATTGAATTTTCGTAGAATTTTCTAATAAAAATTGTTTTAAAAATGAATTTCAGTTAAATTTTTGGATAATAATTGAATATTTCACTACTTAAATAAATAAATAAATAAATAAATAAATAAATAAATAAATAAATAAATATTAAAAAAAATTATAGCATGGATTTTTAGATATAATTGCATTTTGGAAAAGTTTATTTGAATTTTTTGTTGTTTACTTTCAACATATTTAATTGAAGAATTTCTGAATAACCAGAATTTCATAAAATTCAATTGTAAACAAATGGATCTGGAAAATTCTCCAGAATTTTAATAAAATAATTGAAATTAATTATGTTTTTAGAAGAATTTACTTTAAATTGTATAAAAAATAATTGAAATTCTGCAATGAGTTTTATTATTTATGAAAATAATTGAATTTATGAAAAGAATTTTATTTCTTATGAAAATAATTGAATCTCTGTTAAAATTTTTATTCTATTTATGAGAATAATTGAATTATTGGAAAGAATTCCTATGAAATTCTTATTATTTATGAAAATAATTAAATGTTTACGTAGAAATTTATCAAATTTTCTTTAAAATAATTGAATTTTTTTTAGAAAATTTTATTAAAATATTTTAAAATAACTAAATTTTGGAGATAAATTTTATTATTTATAAAAATAATTTAAAATTTGACAATAATTAAAAAAAAATTGTTGAATATAATTGAATTTCTGCGAAGAATTTTATTAAAGTTTCTGAAAATAATTGAATTTTGAAGCAGAATTTTATTATTGATCAAAATAATTGAAATATTGACGATAATTTCTTTTTAGTCTTTTGAAAATAATTGAAAGTTTGCCAAAAATTTGAAAATTATAAAGTATTTAAAAAGAATTGAATTTCTGAGAAGAATTTTATTAGTTATAAAGATAATTAAAATTTTGACTAAAATTTAAAAAAAAATTTTTTAAACACAATTGAATTTCTAATAAGAATTTTATTATTTATGAAAATAATTGAATTTCTGCAATAATTTGTGATTTCTCTACAATTTATTTTTTTATAATCAAAATTTCGTAAAATTAAATTGTAAACAAATGGATCTGAATTTACTTCAAATTGTATTAAAAATAATTGAAATCCTGTGAAGAATTTTATTATTTATGAAAATAATTGAATTTTTAGAAACGAATTTTATTACATTTCTTTTGAATAATTAAAATCCTGCGAAGAATTTTATTATTTATGAAAATAATATATTAATAATATATATATATATATATTAATATATTAATATTATATTAATATATATAATATATATATAATATATAATATATAATAATAAATTTTTGTTGAAAAATTTTATGGAACTTTAAATTATTATTAAACATGAAAATAGCGATCACTCCGAGTCGAAGACTTGGAGTGCTTGATATTTTCATGTTTTATAATAATATTCTTATAAGTTGTTGAATTTCATAAAGATTTGAATTTGAAATTTTTTTGAAAATCTTTATTCCTGTGGAATAATAATAATAATTAAATATTTATCTAAAAAAGAAGTTATTGATGTTTTCGAGTAATTTTACATTTAAATAAATTCGTAAATAAATTTAACAGAATATTTTGTTGAGTATCTAATAATTTTTGGAGTGAATCAGAATTTTCTTTAGGATTTTCGAAAATTTTCATCAATCAACGTTAAAAATTTTTCGGAAATATAGTTTATAAACTAATTGATTTATTTAAAAAATTAATCTGATAGTAGAAAGTACGAATTCGTCAATTACTATAACAGGGAAATACTTTTTCAATTTATTTTTTAAACCGGTTTTATTATTTTATTTTTAATTTCCAAGTTTATTTAGTAAAATAAATTTCGAAAACGAATTATAATTAAAATTTCAGTTATTCGAAGTAATGTTAATAGTTTCGATCATTGATGAGTGTTTAAAAATTAGTATTTTTCTAAATTGAATAAAAATTGAAAAAATTAAAAAAACGAAGAGGAAAAGGAAAATTTCTAAAAGTAAACGTGATACTGCGTTATTTGGAAATAATTAAATTTGATCGTAAAATTAAAAAGTTGATATTTATGGGAATAAATTTCTTGCGCGGCAAAATTAATTTATATGAAAAAGAATTAATTAAAATTTGCTGTTGGATAAACGTTTAATTTATATATCTATATGAAAAGGAAATTATTTTGTAATTTGAAAAATGATTTACAATAAATATGTGAGTCAACATTTTCTGTTGCGGGTAAAGGTATAGCGGTACTTATAAACCAACAGTGGCATCCGTTGTTTTATCCACTGTAAACGATAACTCTTGCGATTTCTTAGTAAACAATTAAAGATGTGACCTGGCCCAGATGTCGCAACTACCGTTCCCTACAATACAAATGCCCACCATACTTTTGTTCACATTGTAAATTCGATGACATGATAAACAGTCACCTAAATGATTGATGAATCAAAGACTCAAGCGTATGTTCAAGGATCAATCTTCTTTCATTTTCCGCACGCAGCTTCCAAGAAACTTAATATCATGCTCTCATCTTAACTCGATTAAAATCAGCAATTTGATTTCATTTTTTTTTTTTATTGTTAAATTTATAATTTATTTCTTGATTCGAAAAATTTTATCTTATTTAATTTAAAAAAAATTGTTTCTTTAGCTCCATTTTTTCAGTATTGCTAAAATATAATTATTCTTTATTTTGTAGTTTTTTTTAAATTAAACTTTTTTATTTATTATTTTAATGGAACTTTTTGGTTTTTTGAATTAAAAGAAAAGATAATTACACTTCATATACATGAACTCATTTGAATATTAAATTATTTTTTCAATTCTTCCGCTGTTTACTTCGAAAGGTCAACAGTCCAGGAAATAAATTAACTTTTTGATTTAAAAAAAAATATGAAGCAGGAGAGAAAAAATTATTATGTCAGTTATGTAGCACGTGACACATTTATAATCGTAACAAGCATACTATCGTATTCTCCCTGACAACCAGTTTGACCGCTTCCGACTGTATACGATAAATTTTAAACTTATATATTGATTGAAGCAATTTCAAATCGTAGATCTTTTTTGACAATTGTTATTTCATCTTTCATTTCTTATCTAGTGCGGGAAAAAATTGCCATATGGATTTTTTTTTACTATTTTAGTGTAGAACGATTTTTTATGTTTAAAAATAATTTTTATAATTTTATTTTAAAAAATGTTTAATTTATTCAGTTTGATTGTTTATTCTTCTTTTGAAAATTGTTTTTTTGTGCATTTGAAAGTTTTTATCTATATACATAAACATTAGTTTGATGTAGATAAAAAGTTAATTGGGTGAACAGATTTATTTTTCCTCTCGAGAATCATATCTCTTATCAAAAACTCTTCACCTTTTTTCCCTATGAATCATTAATTTAAAACTTTCACCTTGTTGAACAAATATTTATTTAACTCTGTGATTTTTCTTTTCAACATTGAGAAATTTTTGCTGCAGAATAATTTAATATATTGTGATGAAGTTGGGAGGCGTGAAAGTCATAATTTTGATGTGTATTGAATGTCTTAATTGGAAAATTTGTATTTTTAGTGCTTTCAGTTTCATTGTTGGTTAATTTTTTTTTCTGTATTTGAAACAAATACGATTTGATTGATTTAAATAAAAATTATTTCATTCAAGATGTACTTGAAGAACCAAATTTCAAAAATATCGATAATTAAAAATTTTTTCCAAATTTTAAATAACTTAATTCTTTAACTGTCATAAAATTATTAGGTACTTAGAAATTATTTGATGAATAATTTTACTTAAATATTTAAAAATTAATTGAATTTTAGAAGAATTGCGATTACAATTTTTCATATAGATAAACTTCAAAATGTTTTAATTTCATATTTTTAAAAATTTTTTTTTCAAAAAATTTAATAATTCAAATTTTTATAAAATTAATTACATATTTTTAAATATTTAATTTATTATTAAAAATAATGGATTTATAGAAGAATTTTTCCTAAAAATAGTGAAAACATTGAATTTTGGAGAAAACAAATTATTGCAGAAATTCAGTTATTTTCATAAATAATAAAATTCTTTTTAGGAATTCAATTGCGTTAAAAAAAAATTTTTTAAATTCTAGTCAA